TCTGTCTGTCTGTCTGTCTGTCTCTTTTTTGTGCTGGCGCAGGCGTGCCAGATTGGTACCTACGCAGGGTGGGAAGATGGGCGGCGTTTATGGTGGTTTTAACTCTTCCGACGTTAAACACACCGCAGCCTGCACACACCGAAGGTTGCAAGACGAGGGTTTCATCTGCTGGGTGTTTCAACGGCTCCTAGCCTGAAAGCAAGAGAGGGCGCATTGGAGAGAACGGTGCGCTCATGAGATCCCAACAGTGACATTGGATTATGCCTGTAGAGATGGGGCAGCCAGGGCGCAGTGGAATCACATCAATGCCGTCGCAGGCTCTTGCTGTGTGTGCCGAGGCATTTTATCAGGTGCTGTAGGTTTTCCAACCATTATACTCGTTTGGCACATACACGGTGGAGATGGCAGGGGTGAGTGGAGAGGTTGAGCAGCGACATGTTCGGTGTTCAGGTGATGCACCACACTGAGGTGATACATGCGTGTCGTCATTTAGGTGTTGATTTAGCTGCGGGTGTGCTCAGCCGGATGGAAAAGATGGGTATCCAGCCTGATGTGACGCTCAGCGGAATTTCAGTGCGATTGTTTCACAAGTCGCTGTGAGGCCTGCAATCTCAAGTCTCCGTGTAATAACCTGCCGCGGCGAACCCGAATCCCCAAGAAAGGAGAGATGTTTTGCTCACAGCCACCTGCAGCGCACATTGGCGTCAGTATGGGTTTCATTCACTTGTCCTGTATTACAGACAGTTCTTGTTGCGAAGCCGTTCAGGCAAGTCTTGTGCTATTGTTGTGCACGGGGAAGTTGAAAATGGCTGTTTCCACCAATAAAGGCCACCATCACAGCATTCCTAAAGTCATCACTCGAAGAGTTGCCACTTAAGCTGTTACCCAGCATGCTAGGCCAGGCCACATGCCAACTTGCAATCAGCCCAATAGTATATGGGTGGGGTGAGGGCCATCCCCAATAACCTGCTGTACATGCTCCAGGTCATTTTAGCATGCCTGCTGCAGGATTACCTTCAACACAGTGTTGAGCTCCAGTGCTGCAAACTGGGAATGGGTCCTGGCCTTGCTGTCCAACATGGCTCCTTGGCACTGGGAGGATATAAACATGTTGAGAACACCAGCAAACCCAGGAAGGCCTTCTAGGTCAGAGGCCATCGCTATTAGGTTGGAGGCCATCGCTTCTACCATAATCGCCTGTGGGGGTCTGAATGTTTGCTCGCCATCGGCTTTTATGGCGGGTACCCAGAGCACCCGGGAGAGAAACACTATTGGAATGAGGCGGGGCCTGGCACACCATGCCAGATCTGTCAGTAATGCTGCTGCATCGAGTGAGGAACAGCGTGACTTCACCAACGCCCGCTCCTATAGCATTGCACTTCATGCCTTGGTGCAGGAGCGGTGGGTGTTTGCTGCAGGCCGACCAACCTCCAAATGCATGAGAATCAAGAGGGTTGAACGATCGCTTCTGGACAGATACTGTATAGTTCACCAAACTTCATTCTTGCACGGGTATTGCTATGAGGGCTTTGCCGATCTGTGCCAGGAGAATCAGCTGCATGCGGCGCTTCATTTGTTTAAGCACGTGCAAGTGAAAGGGATTACCTTGACGGAAGGCGCCTCAGACAGCTGGGCTGGGCAGGGTGACACACCTGATTTGAATGGTGAATATTTTTAGAGAGGAAGGATCTGAATCGGAAGTCGGATGAAGTTGGGTTGATTTGGGAAATTACCATTGTTTATGTTTATTTGGCTAATTGTTTTGGCCAGGCTCAAGCATGCTAAAACGGGCACTTGTTTATTTGGCAGGACAGCACTCGTCTTTGGACCCCCAGATGCTGCCTGTGCGTGACATATACATATACATGGTACACACGCACGCAGATATATATACATATATAATATGATAGATACACAAATATATGTATATATATATATTCAATCAAAAAGGTGTACGGTTTGACTTGTTGACTTTGTTGCTATGTGGAATCCCTTACTGTACATCCTTTGGAGTTTTCAGGCTTCAATGATCGCTTCAGTCTTGGTTCTCGCTGCGCTTGCAGTCTCCGTACAGGGTTTGCGCACCTTTGCGTTCAACAGGTCGACTGAAAGCAGACGCAGGTGAATCCACAAAACAATCTACCAATCAGCTACGACTATAGACAATCAGGTGTTGGTATCCAATGACCAATCCACAATAAACAATCAGAGTTTAATCAATTATATACGAATTTTGAATTGGAACTCGACCCCTTCGGCGCCGTACCGTGTTTGTTTTATTCGTTTTTGATGGTGTTTTGTTTGGTTTTTGGTGTGGCAGCGCCCACTGCAATCGCCAGCTGGCGACTTTTTAACGGCTTTACGGTTCCTGGTTCAACACCTGCTCATTTTGCGCTCGCTTTGCGGTTTTTTACTTTTTTTTTTACGGCTCCACCTGCTCATTTTGTGATCGTTTTGCGTTCTTTTACGGCTTTTTACCGTTTTTTGACGGCTCCTGGCTCCACCTGCTCATTTTGCGCTCGTTTTACATTTTTAAAAAAACTTTTTGACGGTTCCTGGTTCAACACCTCATTTTGCGCTCGTTTTACGGTTTATCGGCGGTTCCTGATTCAACACCTGCTCATTTTGCGCTCGTGTTAGAGTTTTCTACAGATTTTATGTTTAGTTTTTGCTTCTTTTTTTTCACGGTTCCTGGCTCTACAGATCCTTTTTTAAATGGTTCCTGGCTCCACTTATTTTGCGCTCGCTTTACGCTTTTTAGTGTTTTTTTAATGCTCTTTTTAGAGTTCCTGTAGCACCTCTATAGAAAAGTCAGTATTGCGTTCAATGTCCTTCGGCGCTTCCGATGTTTGCGTCCTCATATTTGACAAGTATGATACAGTATGACTCTCCCTCTCCCTCTCTCTCTCTCTCTCCCTCTCCCTCTCTGTCTCTTTCTTTCTCGCCAACATTGACTTTCGGACTTGAAGCGCGACACGGGCGCCATCAAGCTCCGATGCAAAGCTAGCAGATTTGGCCCAGGCCAGTTGCCTCCAACAAGTGTTAAACTAGCAAAGACATGGGGACTAAAAAGCAGAGAGAAATGGCCGGAATTACAACGATGGAAACCTGAGAAGGAGGAGCAAATTTAGGGAACTGAAGTTTGCTTGATGGCTTTCATGATAGAACTAAGTGGTCGGAAGACAAACAATAAAAGAGGAAAACAAGAAACTTCAGCCCATGACCGCCGCACCATAGTCAAGTTAGTGGTATCACGGGCGCTCGCAAGAGCTTCAAGTGCTCGTACCTCAAACGACGCTCTCACTGTCAGTGTCGAGCTCTGCCATAATATGTCTCCAGTATACTGAATAACAATCGAACTAGGTCCGCGTGCGCTCCAAAAAAGGACCATCTCACATTCATATTTGCGATGTGGCAACAATTCACTCTCTATACATGCACATTGATAGGCCTCGGGGTCTTCTTGAGGAGGTGGGACTTAGCTGTATGCTGTCAAGGAGTCAGCACCGTATGTAGAAGCCAACGTCTTGCAACCGTCGGATGCATTCTTTTCGCGTGTGGTGACAATACAAACGCCAGAAAACAACAATTTAAAAAGAACGAAAACACGTAAAACGAGCGCAACATGAGAAGGAGTGGAACCAGGAACCGTATTTAAAAAACAACGCGAAACATCATAGACATACGTCAAAAAAGTGCGCGTCCTCTGGAAACCGTCGGACCCATTCTTTTCTCACGTGGTGACATCAGTACTACGGGTCATGATATTTTTATCGGCGATCGGGTCATGATTTTTTGCCGATGATCGGGTCGTGCCTGTTTAGCGGTGATTGGGTCATGATTTATTTGTTTGTGAAATCGGTTGCAGTTGGGAAAACCTATTTTCTATCAATGACCGAACAATATTTTTAATCGTGGTTACAACGGCGTCTCGACTGAAAGAGGATCGCTGCCCAATTAGGAGGCCGATGAGTTTCTTTGAAAGTTTGAATCGATGGGAGCTGCTGCTTTTGCATCTTTGGGCCGCTTATGAGCTGTTTGGCTCGACTCGCATGACTCGCATGACCCACCACATCCCATGGCCAGACGGGGAGAAACATCTCCCACCGCCCACCGCGTTCTGCCCATTCCCTATTTATCTGGCAGCCGAGGTGCCTACAATTTTTTGATTTTGGCAGTGCTGAGAGTGGGCTGGAGCCAATGGGCTGAACACCTGATCCAGAAGGCAGGGTGTTTCCCAGGTTTCAGGTGGTTTACTGATTGAATACCCTTGCATGCATGCCCCTGGCGCACAGGCTCGAAAGAAAGACCACTTCATGGTTTCCCACTGTTTGCAAGACCTTGCAGTCGCTAGGCCATTGAGGAAAAGGTCTTCACCAAGGCGCAAGAGAAGTTGGTCGACCTCCACAACATGTCGGGTCCAGTGGCCAGGCGAGGTCAGGGTGGGGGTACTCTCGTGTTCGGTCAGGGGGTGGTTGGATAGGGATGTTATATATATATATATCAGCAAGGGCTCCATTCGGCACAGCCATGCAGGGCCCAAGTTTGTGGGAGCCTGCCTGTTTGACGAACTTTGGAGCGAAAGCGCTGCTTCCTTCCCGGACGCTTGAAACGATGACGTGACGCCAGGTTCTTTTTCCTGCTCGCCTTAAGAGACAGAGCTCCGTGGCAGATGGGTAACAAGGGGACGGTCTCACACAAAAGGATCACCAATGGGTCGACGTGGCCTTTGGACATTCTGGGCCACTAGTAACAAGAAGCTACTAGGAACAAGTGCATCGCTTCTAGTACCAAGCGCCTTACTAGTAGTAACAAGAAGCTAGTAGAAACCAGAAGCTACTAGGAACAAGTGCATCGCTTCTAGTAACAAGTGCCTTACTAGTAGTAACAAGAAGCTAGTAGAAACAAGAAGCTACTAGGAACAAGTGCATCGCTTCTAGTAACAAGTGCCTTACTAGTAGTAACAAGAAGCTAGTAGAAACAAATTAGAATAATTGGAATTTAATTAGAATCGTTTCACGCCTCACGGACCCCGAGAAACGGATGGTTCCTGTTTGGAAGGCCCGACAGAGCAGCGGGTGCAACCCGAATGCCCCCCCCCAAGCCTCAGTTCCTGGTTGCTGCGGAGGATCTGGCCTTTTCTCGGCCTTGTTACAAACAGCTGCTGCCGGAGCTTGTGATCTTTTCGGATGCAAATTCACAACTTCACAATATGTTCCATAAATTTCCGGTGACTGATCCATGTACCCCAATGCATTTGCAGCCTTGCTGCTTTTGGTTGGAGATGTCTTCCTCCAGCGGAGTGTCCTTGGCTCAGGCTTTACGACCCTCTCGAAATTCCTTAAGAGTCGTCTTTGGCCTTGGGAGGCCCGAACGGCGGCGGTGCACAATTGATCAATTGGCGCGGCAAACATGTGTAGATGTGTGGAGACGGTGTGCAGATTCAGATAGAGGAGAGGTTTTGACGTGCAATATTGAACTGAAGAAACGCTTCTGAAAGCGGATTTGCTTCTGTTAATAAGACCGCGCAAGTGACAATTAGAAACCAACCATGTTTCGAAGACACGGTTCCATCAGGAAGCCATTGGGAGCCGTAGGACGATCGTCTGGTCTTCCAGCTCGGACCTCGCCGTACGACCACGGGCAACGGTGTCCCGGACGTGGCACCGTTCCCCTCCGCGGGCGTGGCGTTCCGGCAGGCACAACGTGAAGACTCCACTGGTGGTGAAGCCAGAAGTGCTCTCCCTTTGCGAAAAGCTGGAGCTCTCGGTGAGGCCCGCCATGGCCGCCATGGCCTCGGTAGGAGTGGAGGAAGGTAGACCATAGTAGACCCAGTAGTTGGATCAAGGACCCTTTCTTGGCCCACTTCATGGTTGGTGTCTATGCAGCCCTACCGGCGGCCCTATACTCCTTTTTGATGACCCGCTCCGCTCCCTTTGATCTTTGCATTCATTTGTTGGCTTTCCTGGGCCCGTTGCCAGGCCGCCAGCTGAAGATGAGGGTTCTGTGCAGGCGGGTCCTGGCGAGCTCCCTTGTCAAACAGAATGGGCAGCACCAGAATCACCATGCACTACACTACTTGTCAAGAACTGAAGGGGAATAAACATACTTCCTGGATGATCATGCTACCAGAGCCGGGGTGTCGACCGGTGACTCTTTTTGTTTGGGTCCTCGTAGTTTCAGACAAGTGTGACAGGCACACAGTGCCCATGATACAATACCATCATTGGCTAAGGATTTTCCTGCTAAAGCTTAGTCCACCACACAAAAGCAGTTGAATGCAAACAGTACAGAATGTGCCAAATTAAGGCCTCTTGCTTATGTGGGCCGTACAGCAACCATCCTGGTGAAGAACAGGGGTTGAGAAGAACCCGGAAGAGAATCAGAGACCCTAAACCTGATGTTTGAGAGCTTAAGAAAATGTGGCGCCCTGGTCTTCTCAAGTCAAGGACCACGGGAGCCTCATTTTCTTGTCCAAAAGGTTCTTAAGCAGTGCTAGGTTTATGTGCGAACGTCTGAACATGCCTTGCAAGTTGTGTGATTAGAGGTTTGGGACACTCTTTGGAAGGTTAAGATTTCCGCATGAACCTGAACCTTCTCGTAGAAGAATATCAGGATGACTTCTAACAAGACGACAAGGATTCCGGATAAGTGCTTGGAAAAGCCAAAGGTAACGGAAGGGTCATAGAAATGGACTAAAGGATCAACACCGCACCCAGGTCCAGGCTGCAACCCAGCCTTACACGAGATCCACTCCCCCAAATTTGCATAGCCACAGCTCGCGTTGAAGAAACCATCCTGTTTGATCGCTTCAGCAAACATAACTGTATATATATATAATATATATATAATTAGGGCAACCGACCGAGTGCATCCGTGGTACGCCTATCAGGTCAGGGGGATTGGGGCTCACGCCGCGCTTGCGGCCAGGTGCAAGCCAGGAGCTTCACCCCGCGCTTGAACGCGGAGCTGCAGAAGCTACTCTCAGAGCCTGCCTCTCGGCATCTCTCCAGCGGCTGACCAGTTGGAGCACAAGCTAGAGCTAGGGCACGTTGCTGACAGAAGCCAGAGTCATGAGTCTTTTAGTATCTTTCAGTCATGTTTACAAAAACGCTAACAGGCATGTAATTGATCTGAAGATGGTGTGTGCCCATACTCAAGTCCTTTATGGAAGTATTCCCACAGGAAGAAGCGCACTCGGGGCGGTTGGTCTTGCGTTTTTTCCAACGGAATCAACAGACCCGGTTCCCTCTAGCATGCTTATAGTGTAGCCTAGCACAACATATTGGCATGCACCAGACTTTGATAGAGACACTAGATGCCTGATGCGGATGTGCCAGATGGCAACACGCGCGCTGAAACCACTCAGTTCCACTAAGTCGTGTTCCTCGGGATCTCCGATGCCTCTCAGGAACTGAAACGTCACTTTGGGAGCCTTCCTTCCACCTTGGAGGACGAACTCTTTCAGACTGCCGAGCTGGCACTTGTGGGCTCGTCTCGAGCGTTCTAGGAGAAAGAGTTGCGCGCTTCCTGCAGGAGGTCAAGATGAACCACGTTTGATTTGGAGCGCATTTGTGGGTATAGCCGTAAGCATCAATCTCGGATCCGACATATCATGACATATCAAGAGGAACCCATGGCCCCAGATTCGGACTTCTCCAAAGAAGTAGGGAGAAGACTCGACTTGTTGGGGCAATGCGTTTTGGCTCAAATCTGCAGGGACGCCCCTTCCCCCCAAGCACACACACTTAGGATATGCGGACAATGTGGATGGAAATTGAAAGCCTCATGCCACACGGACACCTAGGTGAAAAAAGGGGCCTGAGTAAAACGGGACAAGTAAGTTGGAGGTCATCGCTCTTAGGTTAGAGGCCAACGAAAGCAGGTTGGGGGCTATCGCAGGTTGGTAACAAAAAAATGAAACTGCAAAGCAGTCCAAGTTAGAGGTCATCGCTCTTAGGTTGGAGGCCGTCGAAGGCAGGTTGAGGGGCCATCGCTAGTAGGTTGGTGACAAGAAACGAAACTGCAAAACAGCCAAAGTTGGAGGTCCTCGCTCTTGGGTTAGAGGCCACCGAAACCAGGTGGAGGGGCCATCGCTAGTAGGTTGGTGACAAGAAACACAAGACTGCCAAGGTTAGAGGCCATTGCTAGTAGTTGGAGGCCATCACATCCAGGTTGAAGGTCCGTGTTACAAGTGACACAAGTTTCGAGGACTACCTAAAGTCCTAAGCACCTCCAGGAAAAACCTCAGGTACATGAACCACCATGAAAGAAACCAGGGGAGCACAACAAACAATCAACAGTCAACAGTTTAAAAACCGTAGGTACGGGATGGTACGAGTGGATGATTTTTCCACCCACCCCTCGATACACCATAGCTTCGTTGCGTCAGGTAGGTGTATCGAGCCTGACGCCCCTGCAAAAAAAACAAAACCTTCAACAGAAGCCCTATGACTCCAAGGGTTTCACACGTCTCCCGATTAGGGATGCAAAAACTAAGTGACGAGCTAATGTGCATGTGTGCGTGCAGCATGGACAAAAAGATGAAGACATGAGAAAGAGGACAGACGGGACAAAAGTGCATGTGGTTGCAATGAAATGGGAACCAAACGCACAGGGACAAACGGTGAACCATACCTCATTGTCAGAACCTGGGCAACCTGAAACCTGGGTTTACAGTAGATGTGCGCGTGCAGACTAAGGCCTTGACCGATGTGCACGCAGGAGAAGGAAAGGAGTGAGATGACAGGACATGAAGCAGGGAAAGACATGAAACGAAAGGAGGAAAGAACGTGTGTGAGAAGGAGAAAAGGATGAAAAAGGGAACCAAATGGAGGGGCTGGGAACCAATGAAGCCAGACCTCATTAAAGCAACCTAGGAAGACCTGCCTCGTTTAACATGTGCGTGCTGTGTGTGCACCTAAGATTACGACGGGTCCCAATGGACCTTAAAAAACTGTGGTCGCTGCGACCACGTACGCCGTGCCAAAATGGCTGACTTGGACCGCTGCGGTCACCTAATGGCCTGCTCAAGAGCTGCCTTGCTTGAATGTGATAGTTCGTTTAGTCTTGACAAATAACTTTGGCTCAGCCCTGCTTTGTCCACTGCGGACTGCTTGGTATCCGGGCAGTGGATACAGTAGACACACTCCGGTTCGACGGGGCCACAGGGGACACTCCTCGGGTACACCCGGGCTCTCACTAGGAGAGACACACTTAGCATATGCGTACGGAAATTCAAAGCCTCATGCCACACGGAAACCTAGGTGAAAAAAGGGGCCTGAGTAAAACGGGACAAGTAAGTTGGAGGTCATCGCTCTTAGGTTAGAGGCCAACGAAAGCAGGTTGGGGGCCATCGCAGGTTGGTAACAAAAAATGAAACTGCAAAGCAGTCCAAGTTAGAGGTCATCGCTCTCAGGTTGGAGGCCGTCGAAGGCAGGTGGAGGGGCCATCGCTAGTAGGTTGGTGACAAGAAACACAAGACTGCCAAGGTTAGAGGCCATTGCTAGTAGTTGGAGGCCATCACATCCAGGTTGAAGGTCCGCGTTACAAGTTTGGAGGCCTACCTAAAGACCTAAACACCTCCAGGAAGAACCTCAGGTGCATGAACCACCATGAAAGAAACCAGGGGAGCACAACAAACAATCAACAGTTTAAAACCGCAGGTACGGGTGGATGTTTAGTGTAGGTGTATCGAGCCTGACGCCCCGGCAAAAAAGTCAACGGAAACCCTATGACTCCAAGGGTTTCACACACACACACACATCAGGGTCGCAACTTCGAGGTACGCGCGGCATTCCAGCCTCATGCAGTTTGGCAGGAGCTCCCTGAGGCTTGCGGTGTGGCAGGTTGTGTTGTCATAGAGATGGGGTTACTCGCGCTGATGCTGCGTGGCGCACCAGCATTTTTCATATCATGTTCAATACTTTCATCATGAATTGATCCTGGTTCGTGGTGCCTATGTTGTGGGGTTCTAGGTGAGTGTGCGGAGCATACTTTGCTGATGAAATATGGAGTTTAGGTTTATCTTCATAACGCCAAATACTCTGCCACAAATGGATGTTCATCTACTTTCTTTGCACATTTGTGTTTTTTGCTACGCGATGCTTCTGGAAACGCCAGGCAGGTGGGTGACAGTCAAATTGAAAGGCCCAAACAGTCTGCCATATTCGCCCAGGCGCTTGGGCCTTCATCTCTATCCTTCGCAAGCGCTCCCTTCTGGGCCTTGGCTCTTTGTCGGCACAGACGCTGTGCTCAAGCGCTTCTGGCACCCTTGGTGCGACCAGAGGTGGGGACACTGGGGGTCCCTAGGACCAACTGAATGTGGGTGAGTTAGAGGGTGAACTGGATCGGAAGGGGATGGCAACATCTGAGAATTCCTGCACCACTTCGAAGATCAGAAGAGTGAGAAGAGGAGCTGCTTTGGGTATTCACCTCGGAGTGCAGGCGTTGGAAGTGTCCAAAGCGGCTCCTCCCTGGCTGCCATTTGTGGCCTTTGCGAACGTCATGGCGGCGAAGGATGAGCAGGTGCCTTTTGCGCTTTGCTGGGGGCTGTCGCCGTCGATGTGCATGTGATGCATATCAGATCGTCCCATTTCCGCAAAATAAAGCATCAGCAAAACTTTAGCACATTCTTCTGGAAAAGGCCCTTCGATTCATACTGAAGATCATCCACCCATTGGAACCCATTGGTGGTAGTCGGATTCATCCGGGAAGCTATTGAGACCTCACAATAAGAAAGCATTACAGTACAGTATAGTTATAATGTGCTATGCACTTACTCCATCTTACTCCAACAAGGGTGCTGTCCAGAAGCCGACTTTCATGAAAAGAGCACCAGCCAGTTTGGCCTTGAAGATGCTTCCGCCAATGGGTTGACCGCACGGTGTTTACGCGTCCGATCCAGGGCGAGTTCTTCTGGCGCAACGAAACCAGTCGTGCGCTCTTGGAGCGGTTTGCGGAGCGGCACTTGAGGTGGGGCAGGGCATGCCGCAAAAAGAACGCTACTACTCGTAGTAGCTCCTGGCCTTGCTACCACGTATGCTTAGTATATCTTAGTACTAAGTATGCTTGCTGATGTTTTTATCTCACTGGGTGCAGGATGGTGCGTGTCTTTGTTTGACCATGTCTTTGAGCAGTTGTGAGCTCTGGTTATCCGACGCTTGTTTCATTTTTATTCCTCACTGGTCACGCCCAATGCACTCTGCGAGCAACGGAAGGCTCATCCAATCCAGCTTCAACAGCTACTTCACTGTGTCGAACCAACCCACCAAGACAAAGGTGAGTGGATGAGTAGCACCTAGTGAGTAGCAGCTAGTGAGTAGCATTCACTGAAAAAGTGGCCGGATTTGGGATGCTTGTTTGGTTCATTCCTCGTTCGGTAGGAGGCGGCCCAGCTGGGCCCAAGCAGTCCATGCTGGCGAATGGCTCTCCGAGCTTCTTCGAGGTTTGTGTGATGCTTGGCGGAGGCTGCAGACCAAACCATTTTTCAAGCGGCGCTTGCTATGTGGTTGCTGGCCATCTCTCCCCAAAGCATCCCAAAGCTCTTTGGCCTTCTCATGTTTTTGTGACTGCTTTGTTGAGGCTATTGACTGGCCAGCCATGTGTAACACGACAGTCATTGGTCAGAATGGATCCGGAGGGTGTGTTGGCTGGTAGGACCTGGAACCAGGGACTGTTTGGGCGGCGAACGGGGAACCTCCAAATTCCCAAAGACATCCATCATCCAATAGAATTGTGAAAGTGAGGGTCCTTTCATGACCAGTTCATGATTTTCCATGTCTGAGCATGCACGCCTTTTCCCATCGTCATGCTCCAGCCAGTTGTGACACTTGAACCCGCCATGAATCCATGGCTCAAGACTCGCATCCGCGTGCCAAAAGGTGCGCGTTCCTCCGGGCCGCTGTCAGTTTCATACTGGTAGCGGAGCTGGGAGCGATCCCGGCACCAGCTTTCGCTTTCTCGCCGAGAGCGCCATGGCGGCGTTCTTGGAGGCGCTGCGCTACAACGCGGCGGCCACAGCTGCTGCCACCTCCACGGTGGCTGATGACCAAACAGAGTCCAAGTTTGGCATCCCTCGCTTCAGCGGGGAACCTAGCGCCCTCAACGAGTACGCCTACCGCGTACGAGCTCGAGTACAAAGAGAGTCCCACATGGATGCAGGTGAGGTCAAGAAACTCGGGCCGCTAGGGCTCAGGCTAGTTGAGGGACTCCGAGGACCAGCTCTGAAGATGGCTCAGCAGATCGAGCCATCCAAGCTCGCAACCACCGAGGCTCCTGAGATCCTGATCACCCTCTTCGAGAGGAACCTCCGACCACGCCGAGAACAGGAAGCCAGAGAACTCTACGCCATTGGCGCAAGAGACGGTGGCATGATGGCGAGACAACATGGAGAGCCGGTCTCAAGTTATGTGCTCAGGCGCAAAACATGGTGGCGCCAGCTCCAGCAGCTCGACCCGAGCATGGCTGTGAGTGAAGGGATCTTAGCAGAACAGATCCTCCAGAATGCAGGTCTTAGTGAAGACCAGAAGCTGATGATCCGCACCACCTTGAGAGGCAAGATGGAAGTTGAGCTCGTAGCTGATGAGCTACTCAACCAACACCCTCGACTACATGAACGTGAGCGACTTCCACGGCGGCATCCTGGCAGCTTCAAGGGATCATGGAGATCCAAAGGCAAAGGCTTCAACAACAGAGCCTTCCATGTCGATGAGGAGATCTATGAAGAGTCCCCTGACTGGGAGACGGCATCCCAGTCCCTGGCAGGCTTCACCGAGGTCTTTGAGGACGACGATGAGAACACCACCTACCTCGGCTATGAGGACTCTGAGGCCAATGACCTCCTGGCGGAATGGGCCGCCTACTTCATCGACGAGGGCCTGGACATGCAGAATGAAGAAGCATGTGCCTTGGCAGCTGAGGCCATCCAACTGGAGAATGAGGCCTACTTTGTTCGAGGTCATGCCAAGGGCAAGGGCCACAGTGGCTTCAGCGGGTCCAGACAGTTCGAAGTCTCTGGCTCGCTTTCCTTGCAGGAGAAACGTGCTCGCCTTCAACAGCTCAAGAGCAAGACCGAGTGCCGCAAGTGTGGACAAAAAGGGCATTGGTCTGGCGACCCACAATGTCCCAAAGGCACCGGCAAGGGCGACAACAAGTCAAAGAAGAGCTCCTCCTCCTCCTCGACTATGGCTTCATCTGGCAAGCATGGCAAGAAGGGTTCAAAAGGTGGCGGAACTCCCAAGACCAGAGTGGTCTACTTCGCCATGCACGATGGACCTCAAGACTATGAGATTGTGAACGAGGACACATGCCTCATGGCGGTCTCCGGCGGCACTGGATTTGGCTCCGAGCATCCTACGGAAGTGCCTACTTCACGGACACCGTCTATGCAGTCGACAGCACCTGCTGGTGGACCTACATCCTCAAGTTTGAGTACTGTGTTTGCAAGGATGCCACCGCCCACTGCGGCATCTGTGCAGGCCACCATGGCAACTCAGGAACTGGTGCAGTCGCTGTATCAACGAGGCTGGACAGCAGATCAGGTCCTGGACTTCATGCTCCACAACCCCGAGGACCTCTGCGTGATGTCGACTGAAGGCATCCAGATGGCAGGACAAGCTCCACGTCAGACCGGCCCTATGCATCCTCAGGCCGGCTATGGACAACCTGACACTCCGACAAGAAATCCACCGCCCACGGCAATGCCACTTCATGTACCACCAACTCTTGTGGGCCAAGTCCTCAGCACTTTGATGGATATGGAAGTTGAAGAAGAATCAACTCCAGGAGAACCAGCTCCAGGTTCTACAAGCACCAACGTTACCTCATCAGCACCGGCAACGCCTCAGCAGGAAGTATGCCCTCACATCAGGGTCACCAAGAAGGGCAGCAATGGCTACTACCTCAAGGAGACGTGTCTTGATTGTGGCCTCCTGCTGAAGAATGAGAAGAAGATGATCGTTGGCAAGAATGCCCAACCTGTTGAAGGAGCTCCAGGCTTCACCAATGTCCCGTGCAACCACAACCGATGCACGTGGAGAGGATCGAATGGCGTTAACTGGCGCAATACCTGCTTGGATTGCGGCAAGGTCACCCGTGGCGCATGGTCAGACCAACATGTACCCAAGCCACCTCATCTACGAGTCAATGAAGAGACCTTCCTTCGTGGCGCCATTGGACAGCCTGTCCATGACAACAAGCAGTTCGACTCCAGGTCAGTTCATGAGCTGCTTCGGTCGTCACTCATGATCGCCACCATCAAGATGAAGGAAAACAATGGAATCCTCAGCTTGGAAGAGATCCACCGGATCATTGATGCCGTATCCGTGAACCTGGACACCCTCAGCTCTGAGTACACCAGCATGCCGACGATGCCCACGATGTCAACAGCTCAGGTGCCATCGACACCAAAGGCACCACCACCGAGGGATCAATCTGATGCGCTCTACTTCCACGGCACCAAGACCATCACCTTCGGCAAGCACAAAGGGCATCCATTCTGGTATGCTTGGCAAGATGAAAACTACGTTGATTGGGTCCTGAACAACGTTGATGATGGCTCCAGTCGCGGCATGAAAGACCTGGCTCACTACTTCCGCGAGAAGAAAGCTGCTCAAGGTGAACCATGGACACCACCACGGACGCCACCAAGGGCACCTTCGTCCTACCATGGATCGCCAGCAGCCTACATGGCCTATATGATGATGATGAACCAGGACTACCTGATTCCGGACACCATGACCTACCAGGACCACATGATGAACCACAAGAGCCAGTGCGAGAGCCTCATCTCCTCGCGATCCTGGATTCCGGATGCAACCGGACCTGTCATGGTGATCGATGGATGCAGCGGTATCAACAAGCCATTGGCCCTGACGTTCAACCATGTGAACTTCGACAATCCACCTCAAGCATCAAGGGCATCAATGGTCAAGTCAACACCTCCGGAACACGACGACTTGAAGTGTGCTTCCAATTGGAATCCAAGGAGGACAGCTTTGCCATCGGCACCATCGATAGCACGGAACTGTGCAACAGTGATGCACCACTACTTCTGTCCATCAAGGACCAACGCCGACTTCAGTTGCAGGTCAACCTTGGCGATGAGAACACGCCCGACAAGGTCTACAGCAGAGTGCTTGGTGGCTACCTCAAGGTCACCGACCTCAATGGTCTTCTTGGATTGCACCTGCTACCATCTCAGATTGCAATGCTCGGCATGCACTCTAACCAAGAGCAAACGGTGACGGACACAGATGTCGAGACCGACTATGGATCTGAAGAGCCATCCTCGCCAACGTCACCGGCTTCTTCCACTACTACCAACACTGAGGTGCATCTCCGACTTGATGAAGAACAACCGAAGACCTTGACCAAGAACCAGAAACGTCAACTCGAAGAAGAGCTCAATGAACTTGGTGAACAAGACCAGGCAATGTGGTCTCAACTCCAGTCCACACCACGACGTGGACGCCGCTCTGGTGTATGCCTTCCACGTGGCTGCAAGGTCTTCCTCCTCGAGATCTTTGCTGGAGCAGCCATGTTGAGCTCTATCGCTGCCAATCAAGGACTACCAGTTGCAGCACCAGTGGACATCACACTGGATGGCAGTGATCTCTTGAAGGCTTCTGTACGCCAAGAGCTGGATCACGAGATCGACCGCCTTGACCCCTATGTCATCACCCTTAGCCCAGTCTGTGGACCCTGGGGACCGTGGTCAAGGCTCAACATGTCAAAGAATGAGGTCACCAGAGAGAAGATTCTCCGAGATCGAGACAGCTGGTTTCCTTTCACCAAATGGCTTCGAGGCTTAGTTCGTCGACGGCTAGCCAAAGGCCGCAAGGTGCTGATTGAAAATCCCTGGACAAGTGAATTCTGGGACAGCTTCCACATGAAGAAGTTGATGGAAGAGCACCTCTACGACAGTGAAAGCCTCCAGCAGCTTGAACTTGTGCGATGTGATCAATGCATGTTTGGCCTCCGCGACCACTTCAATGGCGAGCTGCACTACAAGCCAACCGGGTTCCTGACGGCCAGTCAAGAAGTCAAGGAATACCTCAATGTCCGCTGTGATCGAAGTCACCAACACCAACACCTTGAAGGCGGACAACGCACCAAACGTGCGCAGGAATGGCCAACTCAGCTCTGCCAAGCTATGCTTGATGGCTTCATCGCTGAACTGGAACACCGCAACCTCAGTGCAGCCTTCCACCTGGAAAGTGTTGATGAAGGTCGAATGGAAGAAGATTTGCATCTTGGAGTTTTGGACACCATCCAAGATGAACGTGATCTAGCACCTCAACAAGATCTACTACCAGATCACTTGAGTCCTGATGAACTCCAACGCCAAGAGCAACTTGAAGAGTCACCCCTGGCAGCTGACCAGGAGATGGAACTTGAACGTGATCGACGTCACAAGTGGCTCAAACTACCTCGACCGACCAGGCTGGCACTTC